TCTGGAAGGCCACCACTGGCATTATTATAACACCATTTGAGTTTCAGGACCAGAGTCTAGAAATGCAGAGAAGAAGCTTTTGAGTAGTCAATGAAGATATGGCATAATAAGACAGAGAGAAAGAATGATCTCACTGTAACTTCTGGGCATACTTACAGAATTGTGAAGGAAGCATGAGAGGCTGAGGCTGCCATCCTTCCATGATAATTTTGCTAAATAACAGGACATTCAGGGTAGAAATAACCCACTAATCAGAATTTAAAACTGTATTAATTTGTTTAGCAAATAATGAGTTTAAGCAAAATATTTTCAGGCATAAATACTGTACTTTGTTTATATTTAGCCATATTAAATTCTCCTTTCATCCTATTCTTCCAAGAGGTTTGCTACCTATTGATCTGCCACAGTCTTATCTCTGACTTAATATCTTTTATAAAACTTGATGGCCATGGTGCTTTTTCCTGTGAATTTATTTTTCTTAATACTTAGAATTTGCTATTCATATTATAAATCTCTTCATAATCATACAATATAACAAACTGGTCTCACTTGATTAACAATCAACATTAAAGGCATAATTTGTTTAATGCACAAATTTTGAGTTTTAGAAAATACTGTTTTGATTTTAGGTGTATATTTATATTAATATATTTATGTCCCTTGGTTGTCTGGAATAAAAAATTCATCTCCAAATATTCCAAAATAAAAGTTAAAATGAGAATTTATTTTCATCTAAATTTAGTACAGATATGAGTGACAATCTGTTTATGAAGTATTGATTATATTCCCTTTTGCTTTTAAGCTCAAGTTTGGATGCATCCTACCTTGAAGGTAATTATTCCTGTAATTGTTAGTTACGTGTTGTCTGAAGAATATAAAATCTTAATACCATGTTTTGAAATCAATCCAGTCTTCCGTTGAAGGGAAAGTGCCCATTCTAAAGGAAGCAAGAAAGACAGCAAAGTCATATCACTTCTTAATAGGTAAGTGATACAGTAAAAATCATTCTGAATAAAGGTCAATTAAAATGCTTGAAATATTTGCATTCTTCCTGAATTTAAATATGTTTTTTTATGTAGTGTTGTTAGTATCTGTTGACGTAAATAGCAATAAGCTCATTGTGGAATGTAAGTTCAAAAAGTGTCAATAAAAGAATATGACACCAATTTTAAAATGTGAGGTTCCATGTCAGTGCTTCAGTACCTCAAGCTTCTGCATATGTCCTTCTCGAACTTAAGAATTGTGAAATTAATTAGAACACTTCTAAGATCTACCAGTTTGACAACTGCTCTGGGTGACCCAGGAGCTGTGGTAGCTGCTGTAATCTCACATACCTGGGGGTCTCCAGCCTGAGATTGATATTTGTTAGGAGTAAATAAGTATCAGTTAATGGAGCAAGATGCTGCCTCTAAACCCATCAGAGCTCTCCTCATGACAGTACCAGATCACAATGTCATGTAAGAATTCCCTGCGTTTCCTGTCTCTGTCCTTGTCCATCACTGATTTCCTGACTGAGCCCAGAGCCTGCCCCACAAAAGGAGCTCTTTGAGCAAGCAGAATTTACTCCTTCATCAATCCATCCTCCTATAATCTTACTTAGTTGCCTCCTTTGGAAGGCTATGATGTGATTATCACACTATCACTGAAGATGGCATGTTGCCCTAGCAGGTATGTGAATGTTTGGGGACATCCAACACTCTGCATTATTTGAGTTATCAGTTTCTTAAGAACTTCAGAGCCCAGAGAGAACAGTAATATCTTTTTTTTTTGGTTTTATGAGACAGGTTTTCTCTGCATTGTTTTGGAGGCTGTCAGACCAGGCTGGACTCGAACTCAGCGAGATCCACCTTCCTCTGCCTCCTGAGTGCTGGGACTAAAGGTGTGAGCCACCACCGCCCAGCTGAGAACAGTAATATCTTAATAAATTTCATACCTACTATGTCTGACACATAGACAGAGACTAATATTTGATAAGATTTAAGGGTAAAATTCAAGCAAAAGTCATATGACATGAAATTTACCATTTTAACTGTAATTCATTGTCACTTGCATCAAGAATGTTGTACAATCATCAGTGGCTACCTAGTCTAAGATTATTTTCATCACCTTTGAAGAAAACCCCATTCTTATTAAGCAGTCACTCTCACTCTTTCCTCTTGACAAGTGATGTTTGCTGTATATTTATGGATTTCCTTATGCTAGATGTTTTGTATAAATGGAACCTTAGGATGAGTAGCTTGTTCAGACTTTGTTGAATCCTCATGGGAGCCTTTATCCATAGGGAGCTTTGGATGGGGTGTGGACTATTGGGGGGCTTAGAGGGTGGAAAGAGGAGTGGGAGGGAGAATTGTGGTTGGAATATGAAATTCTAAACAAAGTGAGTTAAAGAACAGGCTTCAAAACAATACAGAGAAACCCTATCTCGGAAAAAATCAAATTTAATTAATTAATTAAAAATTTTCAAAAGGTGAAACTTTCCTGATAGTAGATGTAAACCTTTCAAATATGAGAAATAGGTTAATCACAGAAAAATAGGTTAAATTATCAGATATTTTTATACAGAAAATGATTAACAGTTGTTTAAAATGTAATGATTTGGTTAACGTTACCCCCAAGTGAAAGACCTGTATCACAAGAACTTTGAATCTTTAAAGAAAGAAATTAAAGAAGCTCTCAGAAAATGGAAAGATCTCCCATGCTCTTGGATAGGTAGGATCAATGTAGTAAAAATGGCAATCCTGCCAAAAGCAATCTACAGATTCAATGCAATCCCCATTAAAATCCCAGCACAATTCTTCACAGACCTTGAAAGAACAATAATCAATTTTGTATGGAAAAACAAAAGACCCAGGATAGCCAAAACAACCCTGTTCAACAAGGCAATGTGCGGAGGCATCACCATCCCTGACCTCAAGCTCTATTATAGAGCTATAGTCCTGAAAACAGCTTGGTATTGGCACAAAAATAGACAGGTAGACCAATGGAATCGAATTGAAAACCCGGATATTAACCCACACACATACAAACATCTGATCTTTGACAAAGAAGCTAAAAATATACAATGGAATAAAGAAAGTATCTTCAACAAATGGTGCTGGCATAACTGGAGGCTGGCATGTAGAAGAATGTGGATCGATCCATGCTTATCACCATGCGCAAAACTTAAGTCCAAATGGATCAAAGGCCTCAACATAAATCCAGCCACACTGAACTTCTTAGAAGAAAAAGTGGGTGGTACCCTTGAACGAATTGGTACAGGACAGAGCTTCCTGAACATAACACCACTAGCACAGACAGTGAGATCAACAATTAATAAATGGGACCTCCTGAAACTGAGAAGCTTCTGTAAGGCAAAGGACACAGTCAGCAAGACAAAAAAGCAGCCCACAGAATGGGAAAAAATATTCACTAATCCCACATCTGACAGAGGGTTGATCTCCAAAATTTACAAAGGACTCAAGAAGCAAGTCTCCAAAACATCAAAGGACCCAATTAAAAAGTGGGCTGCAGAACTAAATAGAGAGTTTTCAATAGAGGAGTCTAAAATGGCTGAGAGGCACTTGAGAAAGTGCTCAACATCCTTAGCCATCCAGGAAATGCAAATCAAAACAACTCTGAGATACCATCTCTCTCCTGTCAGAATGGCTAAAATCAAAAACACCAAGGACAATTTATGCTGGAGAGGATGTGGAGAAAGGGGGACACTCCTCCATTGCTGGTGGGAGTGCCAACTGGTTCAGCCACTTTGGAAATCAGTATGGAGATTCCTCAGAAAAATGAGAATAAACCTACCACAAGACCCAGCAACTCCACTCTTAGGCATATATCCAAAAGATGCCCATTCATACAACAAAGATGTCTGTTCCACTATGTTCATAGCAGCATTATTTGTAATAGCCAGAACTTGGAAGCAACCTAGATGTCCCTCAACCGAAGAGTGGATAGAGAAAACGTGGTACATTTACACAATGGAGTACTATTCAGCAGAAAAAAACAATGGAATCCTGAGATTCGCAGGCAAATGGATGACACTAGAAGAAACCATCCCGAGTGAGGTAACCCAATCAAAAATGAGAAACATGGCATGTACTCTCTCATATATGGATTTTAGATATAGATCTGGGGAGTGCCAGCCTACAATCCCATGGCCAGAGAGTCTGGGAAACAGTAACTTCACTTAGTGGCTGATCGAAGAAGAGGCAGACTCCCTCAGTTAAGTACTGAGCTGAACTCAAGAAAGCCAGTAACAGAGAGGGAGGACTGATTACCAAAGGGATTAAGACTGGGCTGGTTTAACCCCCAGAAACAGCTGACCTGACAAAGGTTAACTCTTGAATCCCAGGCATCAGCTTGGGAATCCAGCATGGGACTGATCAAGACCCCCTGAATGTGAGTGTCAATGAGGAGGCCTAGGTAATCTATTGAGCCTTGTGCAGCAGATCAGTACCCATCCCAAGTATACACACGGACTTTGGACTCCCATCCAACAATGTGAGGTGCACTCTCACCCTGAACTCTTGGGGAAGGGTCTAGGCCCTGCCCTATATGAAATGACAGACTATGGACACCCCCATGGAGGGCCTCACCCTCCCTGGAGAAATGAGGGGATAATGGGGGGGTTTGGGGGAGGGCAAGGGAGGAGGGGAGGGAAAGGGAGAGGGACCTGGAACTGACTTGTGAAGCAACCTTGTTTCTTATCTAAATTTAAACTGAAAAATAAATAAATAAGTAAAATATTTTTAAAAATGTAATGATTTGAATAACAGTTGCTCTACAGTATGAAATCATTAATTTCATACTTCTATGGGATTTTTTGGTATGTTTGTTCATTTAGATTAGAGAGGGTGAGTTATATTCATCTCAATTTCATACTTAGCTAAAATTTTTAATTTAAAACATACATTATTAGCAACTGTATACACCTATATATTTTTATAAAAGAGTAGTTTAAAATATAATGATTTTTTACAAGTTAACTAAATAAATACATTTACCTACAGAATCAGACTTAGAGATTGAATCACTAGAAGAAACACTTTCAGATGAAAATGAAGATAAACAATCATTGGTATGAAGATATTTCATTTCTTATTGTTTACTACTGTTTACTTTTATCTACTTACATACCAGAGGATAAAAATTACATTTTATGTTACCCAATCTTAACCTCTAATATTTAAATATCTAAGTAATTATAAAACATAGAATATTCTTAAAATATAAATTAGTGTATAGTTAAATATTATCTTTGGATTGTCATAAAATTTGTTTCAAAGACAGTCTGTCCCATTTCCTCTATATCATTCTAATAAATTGAAAATGCATGATCAAATTTCATTTTAACAGTTAAACAGCTGAAATTGTGAACAACATAGCTGTATTTGGTTCATGCTAGGGGACTACACTTCTCAGTCACTTCAAGCATGTTCTTAGTATGAACATAAGCGTCAAGTTTTATTTATTGCTTGTCATCTATAGTTTCTTCATTGTCTCTACTGAGGGAGATAATGGAGCTATAGGATGAATCTCCGTGTCTTTCAGGATCATTCTTCTTCCCACAGTAAGGGTTTTGATGTTTGACTGGTCTCAGCAGCTGTCAAATATGGCATTTGGAATCCCCTTTGGAGATTCACACTTGAATTGTCTGAAAGGGTGTTTTGGGGAAGGATTGGCTGTGTAGTGTAGAACCAGAGTAATCGTCATGGACAGGGATTGCCTAGGTACTGCCACTGTAGACTGAGGAAAGGAAAGGGAGAAGGCAAGTCAGTCATCAGCAGTGTTTTAGTTAAACACTGAAAATATCAGAAAAGATGACATGCTAGAGAGAAAGGATGTAAGACCAAGTAGCAAACACAAATCAATACAAGTGGTATATATGAAAAAAAGAGACTTTTGATATAGCTAATATTGAAGGAGTTTGTGATCATCATGATGCTGGGAGCAACCACAGAGTTACATATTTATTTGCAATAATTTTAAGGATGAAACAGAAGAAGACAGACGATGACAATGTGTTATCCATATGACTATTCAGAGGGCAATCTATACAGAGACAGAAATGGATCATGGGTGATCCTTACCTGAGTGTATTCTGAGTTGACTAGGAAGTGGGGGAGAGGAGTATGCATCATATAGTCAAACTATGTGCTCATTTTTATTTATAGTTAATATGCCAATAAGTATGTCCCATATTTCAAGTTTTTGACGAGGAAATGTGAATATGACTCTCTTCTTACTAAGGCTTCCTATGCTCTTAGAGTATCTTTCTTCATCACAAAAATATTTGCATACCTGCACATAATATTTGCTTTCTATTTATTCAAACACGCTGTAAAGGAAAATATGTAATATTTAAGACACCTCTTTAGTCTTGCTATGCATTAGCCTTTTATACAAGACAGATTTAGAAGTTTCAAACACTTGTTTATGGCACATGATAACCTTTCTGTTTTGTGTTAAGGAGTGTAAATTCTTTCAATACACCACCTATGATATTCTGTCTTAGATAAATTCTGACATTGGATGACATGAGAATGTTAAATGATGCATTCTCTGTGAAGTTCAATTTGTTGAAAAGGACTTTTGTCAGAATGCAAAGTGGACGCAAACATTCAATATTCACTCCTTACTGAGACATTCTGGAGAGCAGTAGTACACATGTCACAGGTTTCCTCTTGCAATTTAAGACCAGATTCTAGAGTCATTGGCCTTATGACTGCAAAAAGTGTATTGATCAAGACACATAGCAAATTCTATTTTAAAATGTTTTTCCCTTCATCACATTTCTTCTTAATTTTCCACTCTAAATGCTTTTGAAATTGAAATTCTAAATGTTTTGTAAAAGTCAAAAGACTTTTGTGAAACTCTAATTGCTGTCAGTTTTAACAGAGTTATTTTCTGATCATCTTCCAGAGTGCTGACGGGGATTTTTCTTGGACAACAGAAGAAAGTGGTCAAAAACATAAAAGTAGACAAAATACAGGTAGGAATGAAATGTTATTTAAAAACCCTCTTAATGTAGGACAATGATTAAAACAAATGATTAAGGAGCAGTACTAACCAAAAAAGAATATTCATTAAAAATGCAGTAAAAATATGTTTAATAATAATTCAAAAAACTTGTTTAGTTTCAGATTGATAGATTTAAAAAAGGGGATTGCTTTGCCATGTTATAAACTATTTAATACCAAGGAATGCCAAAATATAAGGATAATAGTGAAGGTGGGTTGAAGAATAAGTAAAACTATATTTATAGAAATGAAATGCATGAGTATGAGGCAGATGTGGATATAAGGTAAGGACATTTTTTAAATTGCTCTTAAATTAAGCATTAAATTTAATTAAGAATTAAATTAATTTAAGCATTAAATTACCATGTGTTGATGTAATATTGGGTGAATATAAAATGTGAATTTAGTACCTAGAACTTTCTAAGAGGCACAACAAAATTCCTTAGTCATCACTTTGGAAGGAATTAACTACTTCATTAGGCAAAAGTATATCTAGGAGTTATAGATAAATGAAATCATAAATTATCCGATAAATGCAATCGTGTGTGTGTGTGTGTGCTCCTTGGAGTGACAGGGAAATGGAGATATGTGCTGACAAGGGGCACTAACTACATTGTAAATGATAATATGTCAAAACATTGAGTTCACTTATCTTAGCATTCAGGTGCCATTAATTTGAATTCTGACAACTTGACATCTGCTTTCTGAATAAGCCAGTTGCCTGTTGAAAATGATTTGTTCACTGACATTGTATGTGTATGTCATATCAATGCAATTTTGTAAATAAAGAACACTTGTTTATTAATTTCTAAGAGTTTATTGTATATTAAGTATGTCACTGTTTTAAATGAAACAGATTTTAAATATACTTCAAAAAGTTTTTTTTTGGTTTACGAGACAGGGTTTCTCTGTATTGTTTTGGAGACTGTCCTGGAACTCACTTTGTAGACCAGGCTGGCCTCGAACTCACAGAGATCTGCCTGCCTCTGCCTCCCGAGTGCTGGGATTAAAGGCATGTGCCACCAACGCCCGGCACTTCAAAAAGTTTTAACCATTCCATTTTATAACTAGTTTAATAAACCTCTTATAAAGTGTTTTAAAGAAGTACATACTTCAAGACAAAATAATGAGATTATAGTGTAATAGTCCACGTGTATTCAAAAGAGGAATATTTCATTCATAATGATGAAGATGTAAGCTGAACAGCCCATAAGATTTCTTATCTAAGTGAGTTATGCATCTCTCTGAAAATTTAAGACAGTTTCTATTGCCAAAATTATAATATAAGTGGAGAATGTGATAAATTCACACTTAAATGGTGCTGAATTATTTAATTAAAATTAGATACTGATAAATTCTGCCATCATATTTAACAGTTAAAAGCCACCTAGTATTTAAAACAAGAAAAATTAAGCTGGCATGATGTTGCACACCTTTAATCCCAGTACTCAAAAGGTAGAGGCAGCTGAATATCTGAGATGAAGACCAACCTTGTCTACAGAATGAGTTACAGGATACCCAAAGATACACAAAGAAATCCTATATCAAAAAATCAAAAACAAAAAAGGAAAGAAAAATCAAGTATCATTAAAGTATCATTTCCCCAGTGGATTACTATTGCATTTCTTTCTTCACTGGAAAAAATAGAACAAATGAAATAAAAGTCATTCAACATCCCCCAAGTTAAAGAGCCATTCCCAAAGCTAATCATATTTTTTCTTGCAAATTCTTCTTGATTTTATGATTGATGATGTCATACTTATTTGCAATTGATATACACAATATCTTTTATATTTTTTAGACTCTCCTGATAAACATCCTGAACCTAAGGTAACAAATCACAGTTATCATGTACCATTAGTTTATACTATTTGAAATACAGAAATTGTAATCTATTATTTTCAATCTCATACAGCCTACCTCTGAAAATGCAGATTTTGTTACACATGAAGAGTCAGACACCAATCAGGAGGACTCTTCCAATACAGGTGAATCTTGAAGTATTGGTATCTGTTGGAAAGCATTCGACATATTTGAAACATTCCCATTCTTCACAATTATTTTCCTTTCTTCTCCAAGTTTCATTGATGGATTTGATATCAACAATGCAAATACAATTGCCAGATAAGTTCTTGAAAACATTATTTACTGAGTGAAGAAAATGTGTTTAAAGATGTGAAGTTTAACATGACTACATTACTTATTATTCATCAGTGTACAAAATTCCAATTTTCGAGTCTCTATGTTACTTCTAAATTTCATGGCTTAATTGATGAATGTTGCTTTCTCAATTTAATACGTACCTGAATGATGGTGTTAGGGATACATGCTTTGCTCTCAGTTCTTCCAGAACTGATTTTGTTGATGTAAAAGCCTGGTTTGTCATTCAGTTAAGTAAGAGTTTCATGTGATTAAAAATAAAAATTATACTTATTAATTCAAATTAGAAGACAGTCTATAGGTTATAGCTAATTTGTAGCTTACCATTCTGGATAATATTTTTTCAACTTGACACAGGTAGAGTCATTTGTGAGGAGAAAAGATAAATTGCGAAAAGGCATTTTGTTTATTAATTATGTAGAAGGGCCCAAACCATTTGGAATGTTATCACTCCTTGGCAAGTGGTCTTTGGTTTAAAAAAAAAAAGGCATGGCCAAGCAAGCCAATAAGAGCAACCCAGAAAGCAACACTCCCTTTTGACTTCTCCTTCAGGTGTTTCCTCCAAGTTATTACCTTCACTTTCTGTGCTGACATAGCTGTGACATGAAACAGGGCCCTCTCCTCTCCCAGTTACTTGTGGTTACAGTGTTTTCATCACAACAACAGAAACTTCAACCAAGATATTTAATTCACTTCATACTTTAGCTACTGACATGAATCCATCATGGTACCACCTCGGTTGCAGGGTATCATGAAATATGATATTATCTATGTTTTCCTACTTTTTCCTTTAAGTTGAAGAATTGTCATTATGACTAACAGATGTCAAATTTCATAGAATAATTCTAGCTCTAAATATAAATTCATATAACCAATTGAGTGGTTTTGTTGTTTCCATCCTTTTAAATTTATATACATGTATTCATTTCTATATTTATGTTTTTATTTTGTATGTATATGTGTTTTCATATGCATAGATATCTGTATATCACATGCGCACATGGTCCCTAGATGTCAGAAGAGGAGATAAGTTCCCTGAAACTGAAGCTATAGATGGTTATTAGTCATCATGTGAGTGCTGGAAATTGAACCCAGGTCCCCTAGAAGAGCAGTCAATGTTCTAAACCATAGGGCCATCTTTCTACTTCTTATTTGTTTATAATTTAAATTTCTTTTAGATTGACAGTATGATCTTATAATTCCTCATACATGTCTTACCAATGAATTAATAATCATGATGATTATACAAAATAACAATGTATAAAATAATATTAGTTGATGTGCCTGAGGTATACTAAAGTAGGACATTTTTGGAAATTTAAAAATGAGGTGCCTCAACATGGTAAGAAATGCAAGAGAAAAAGTTCAAAATAAAGAAATATAACAAGGATGAGGTATGGTTCAGTCAGGAAAGAGCTTGTGGTATAGCACAAAGAACAGAGTTCAATCCCAGCACCTACACCAAAGCCAGGAACTTGTTTATAATTATAGTACTGTGGAAATTTGTGAAGGGTTAGTCCTTAGGGGTGGATGACAAAGTCTAGATGAATGAAAACCTGTTATAAAATAAGGAGAATGGTGCCTGAGAAATGACACTGAAGGTTGGTTTCTAGGATGTACACACACACACACACACACACACACACACACACACACACACACACAAACACAAACACTTTCACACTAAAAATGAAACCAGAAAGAAAAGTGAGTGAGTTATTTCATGCAAATCATTTCAAATATAATATAATGTCAGAAAATAGGAGGGTCTGCTTCTCTAGCTAGGGTCATCTGGTGCATTCAGCAATTTTTGTATAGGGTTCACTGACACTGATAATTTAATACATTTGGTAGCCCTGGGACTATTCTCCAAGTTTTAAAGTACATTATACTTTTTATACCTTCACATTATAGACCAAAAACACTCATATTTGTAATAAACCACTCTTAAGGTTATCTCTATAAACTGCAAATATGCACATCTCTTTACAACATTAGTGTGGGCTATGATGTCTCACTATAATACATGTCTATGCTGTACCTGAACAAGCCACACATTCATGTATATGTATAGGGACAAAAGTATATCTTAGGTGTTATCTCAGAGGACAATAGTAAGGTTCTCTTATTGTTCTTTGAATATTTCAGACTGGGTGGATATTAGTTTTATATTCTTATTTTCTAATTATTTGCTCTCCACCCATAGGTGTACTGGGGTTACAGTTAAGTGCTACTGATCCAGTTTTACATGAGGTCTAGGGATCAAGTTATATGTACAATTGCCACAATCTGCACTCTCCATTTATAATCCTTTCCTCTCTTTGGCATTTAATTTGTTCTCACAAACAGACTGTGATGTTCGCATCATCATCTATATGCTTTCAAAAGCTGTATATGTCTGGTCTTTGCTACTGCCTTTAAAGTCACATGTACTTGCCTCAAAGTTATCGCCCTAAAGTAATTCTAAGTGAGTCATGTCAGCATTACCTCTGAAACACTATCACCAACACAGTTGTTTACATGCTTAAATTTTAGCTAGTGAGCCTTATAGAAAATAAAGGAGTTAGTAAAATATATAAGGGAATGATTAAATAATGACAATGTGAATTTGCTAAGAGTATTTTAGAACAATAGAGTTATTTAGATATGTAAATAAATAACTAACACTCCAAATTGTAAGGTGCCCTTTCCTTAAGAACTAAGGTTGCTAACCCCATAGGAAGCAACACAAGTTACATGGAGTATGGGAACAATCATATAATAAGACCAAGATCTCATCAAGGTAGTAGAATAAAAACACATTAGATGAAAGAACGGAGTTCTCACAGAAAGAGCTATACAATGTTAATCATTCCTGGATGAAGAGAATTTTTACTTGACCCTGGAGATATGGATTTTACTAAGTAATGAACAGAGACCAGGATGACGGGATTTGATTCCATCCATATTTCAGTGTCTTTATGAAATTTGGTGCATATTTCACAGAATAAGTATGAACAAATTTTTAAGCCTATCCACCTTAAACATGGCATTCTCTACCAATCCTCTCACTGATGTATTGGTGCTGTTGAAAGGCACTTATTTTTTCATCTGTAAATATCCAATTGAACATGAAATAAAATAGGAAATCATAACTAAAAATTAGTAGCTAAACTTTAAAATTCTATAGATATGCTATTAATTGTATCATCAATCTAAGAGGTATCCTTAATTGTTTTAACTACATGTGTAGGTAACTTAGAAGAACAAGCTATTGAACTGACATTAGAAGAGGAACAGAAAAAGAACAATAGCAGTGAAAACAGCCAGTGCTTGGTATATACATTTAAATGTTTCCTTTAATACGTTTGTTTTTGTTTGTTGTTAAGAGACCATAGACAAAATGCTTTTACATTTATAATACTTCTGTGAATTAATAGGTAGTAACTTGATATGTAAATTATGCAAGTCAGAATATTTTTAGCATTTATAGTAACTGATAAAAAACTTCAGTACACAATTCAGATTTTATCCACCATTTTTCATATTCAGTTGTTTTGTAATTTTATCCTTCTTTACATAATAAAAGCTTGATTAAATTAGAGATTTCCAATGAGGGTGCTAAAATTATGCACAGTAATGATGTCTGTATTTTTATTTATGTAAGGCATCATCCATGTATTAACTCAAAGTTGAGAGTACCCTTGACCAGTCAATAATGCTTAATTTATGATTTAATTTTGCATTTCTGTTTTGTTTTTGTCTCTAATGTCTCAGTACTAGAGAGGATAGTGATTATGTTGAATGTAGCAATCTGTGGAGAGAATGGTATATTCATGGGGCCCTTGGTACTTTGCTACAAAGCAAAACATATGAAGTTGTCTTTATTTCAGCAATGAAAATACAGTTGTAAAAATTGCTGCATTATGAATTTACTTTGCACTGGGATATATCAAAATTGAAGAGAAATTTTCCACAAATTCCTGCAACCATATGGAATTCTAATATTGTAGGGAATGGTCAAAGTCATATGCTATTTGAATATAACAGTTAGAACTTGAATAATAATTACAGTGACATTTTTCTTTCCATCTGTGTTTGGATCTGCCCTAGGTCTCTGGGCCATCCAGCCTATGGGTTCTGACACACTAGGCAGTGTTCAGGGTGAGCTCACTCTCATGGGATGGGTTTGAGGATGACCCAATCATTGGTTGGCCGCTCCTAAAATCTCCATGTCACTCTTTCCTCCCCCACTTCCCATAGGCAGAACAGGCCAGTCAAAGGTTGTGTATCTGAACCAGTGTTACAAGAGATAGCCAGTTCAGGCTATGCATCCATGGTCATCCTTGTAGAATCCTGGGGGTTTCCTTTGAACCAGGTTTCTACATGATCCCCAAATGCCCTTCCATTTCCAGCCAACTCATTCAGTAATCCCCTCTTTCATCTACCCCTCACCCAATCACTCATGTTCCCATCTCCACCCACCCACATTTCATCTATGAAATCTGTTCTATGTCCTATTTCTGGGAGATACATGCATTCCTATTTGAGCCTTCCTTTTTACCTGGTCTCTCTGGGTCTGCTTATTACATGGTTATCCTTTAGTTTATAGCTAATATCCACTTATAAATGAATACATTCCATGTTTGACTCTCTGACCTTACTCAGGTCTATTTTTTTCTAGTTCCCATCCATTTGCTTTCAAATTTCATGATGTCATTGTTTTTAACAGCTGAGTAATATTTCATTGTGAAATGTATTATATTTTGTTTACCACTCTTCAGTTGATGGGCATCTAGACTGTTTCTAGGATCTGCCTATTATGAATAAAGAAGCTGTGAACATAATTGAGCATGTATCCCTGTGATTTGATAGAGTAGATGACAGGAAACAAGCTCAGACCTGAAAAAATAAAATGGAAACAGAGAAAATAACGAAAGAAAGATGGTTCTTTGAAAAAACCAACAAGATAGACAAATCCTTATCCCAACCAACTAAAAGGCAGAGAGAGAATATCCATGTTAATAAAATCAGTAATAAGAAGTGGGACATAAGAACAGACACTGAGGAAATCCAGAGAATCATTAGGTCATATTTCAAAAACCTGTATTCTAAAGTATTTCAAAATCTAAAAGAAATTGATAAATTTCTTGATAGCTATCATATATAAGTATTAAATTAAGACCTATATAAACAATTTAAATAGACCTATAACCCCAGAGGAAATAGAAACAGTTGGTAAGTCTCATAAACAAGAATGCACATGGTTTGATGGCTTCAGCACAGGATTGTACCAGACTTTCAAAGAAGAACTAGTACCAAGGCTCCTCAAATTATTCCATAAAATAGAAATAGAATGAATGTTCCCAAATTCTTTTTATGAGGTCACAGTCACTCTGTTACCCTAACCACACAGAAACTCATAAAGAGAAAGAATTACGGACCAACGTATCTTATGAACATTGATGCAAAAATATTAAATATTGGCAAACCAAATCCAAGAACATCAAAAAGATCATCCAACATGATCAAGTAAGCTGCATTCCAGAGATGCAGTGATGGTCCAACATATGCAAATCAATGTAATCCATCATATAAATAAACTGAAAGAAAAAAATGCATGAACATTTAATTAGATGCTGATAATGTCTTTGACAAAACTGAACACAACTTCATGATAAAGGTCTTGAAGAGATTGGACATACAAGAACCATACAGACTATTATAAAAGTGATATAAAGCAGGCCTATAGCAAAATTCAAATTAAATCCAGAGAAACTTCAAGCAACTCTAGTAAATCAGGGATAAGACAAGGCTCTATTAAATATAGTACTTAAAGTTTTAGCTAGAGGAATAAGAAAACTAAAAGAGGTCAAAATTGGAAATGAAGAGTCAAAATATCTCTATATTTTGCAGAATATAGGATAGTATGCGTAAGTGACCCCAAACATTCTATCAGCAAGCTCCAACAGATGTTAAACACCTTCAGTGAAATGGTGGGATAAGGAATTAATTAAAAAAGCAAACAAAAAAAACATTAGCCCTTCTGTATACAAATGATAAAAGGGTTGACAAAGAAATCAAGGAAACAATGCCCTTCACAACAGCTGCAAATAATATAAAATCTACCGAGGTAACTCAAGTAAGAGAAAGATCTGTATGACAAGAACTTTAAGGCTTTGAAAACAAAAAAAAAACCCAGGCTAGCTAAAATCCTGTACAATGAAAGAACTTCTAGAGGTATCACCATACCTCACTTCAAACTGTACTATAAAGCAATAATAATAAAAATTGCATGGTATTGGCATAAAAACAGACAGGTTGATAAATAGAATAGAATCAAAGATATATGAATACTTCATATTTTACAAAGAAGCCAAAATTATACAATGGAAAAAAGAAAACATATTCTTTCTGGTGCTGGTGTAATTGGATGTCAGCATGTCAAAGAATGCAAATTGATCCTTATTCATCACCCCACATAAAACTAAAGTCCAACACATATAATCAGGGAGTTTATAAAGAGATAATCAAAATGTTGGGGTTTTTAATATTTGTTTTCAATATAATTGCTTTTTAACTAGAAGACAAACTTTTCTAAGGCAGTGGTTTGGAAATCTGTATGCAACTCATTACCAATCCTACTTTTAACAGAGCATCTTCAAGCTACACCAACCAAAGCAAATTGGCTCTATATTTGTGACTAGAGATAATCATGAAGAGAATACAATAAATGGTGAGGAGAAAGGTGAGGAATCTTTTTTTTTTTTGGTTTTTCAAGACAGGGATTCTCAGTGGCGTTGTAGGCTGTCCTGGAACTTGCTCTTGTTGACCAGGCTGGTCTGGAACTCACATATACCCACTTGCCTCTGCCTCCTGAGTGCTGGGATTAAAGTTGTGCACCACCACCACATGGCATGAGGAATCTTAATATGAAATTATAAAATGTTACATCTTTAGAACAGAAGGACTGAGATATTATTGAACATTGAACTGTTTTCAAATGTAACGAGTTAGTACTTTCTAGCATTTCTTTTATAAATATGTTTATTGTGATGATATTTCAATTTTTCAGTATGCAGTAGAATATGCACTTGTGTTTATTAGAAATTTTATGATCTGTATACACAAGGGAAAATGAAATAAATTCCATAATATTGATAATAATAACCAAATAATCAGCATAGTTTACATACGTGGATTAAGTAATAACTTCATGTACTATCATTCTACACATGACTAAGACAAACAACTCAGAATAATTTCTTTAATAAATATTAATTTATTTTTCTGAAAATTTGTGCCTGTTAAATTATAATATGAAATAGAGATCATACTGCATTTTCCTGCTATTCTCATTGAAATCATTCTTAAACATTTGATCTACCCATCAATTTTAGCATCTGAGAAATTATACAGCATTTGTTTCAAAGTCACATTTCAGGAAACTTCTAGTCATTCAAATTTATGTCAGTCTTCATTTCCACTGTCTTTCTGCACATTTTCTTCCTACACAGAACAAATAGTTTCACCAACCCCTACAAAAATTCTGTCCCAAAGTCTACATGTGGGGATTAATTTCCATGCTAGTTCTTACAAATATCTGATTGGCATTGTATCTATCTGTAATTGATTGATTGTCCATCTGTTTTACTTTTCAGAGCTTTCTAAAGAATATCCTCAAAAGAAGGTAAAGGCTCTTATGATGTATTTAGTGTCATTAACTTTCTGAGACATACATATATTTAACTATCTTCTTTCCAAATCCATAAAGTCTACCACTGAGGAGGAGACTGTGCCAAATGATTCACCAGACAAGAAGAAGGCAAAATCATTACAAACAGGTGAATTTTGAAGTTTTGATGTTTCCAGATAAATCTTCAAATTATTTAAAATGCTAATAACCTTCTCATTGTTATCCCATTGTTCTTTAAATCTCACAGAATTACTATATTATATATATATGATAATATGTAAGTAAATATCAAATTTTCATCCATGTATACATGGAAAATCATTAATATCTTCAATTATTAAGAAGTCAGTGTTCTTGGTCAATCATGATGTTATATGCCAGAAATTAATATAACACAGTATGAAAAGTTATGATTTTCTACTTTTAGCATCCTATTTTTAGCAGATATTTAGTATTTTCCTAAGGTTATAATAAGACCATGGATCCATACTTGTAGATCCATAGATTTTACATGACTTTTACATCATTTTGTCCCTCTATCTAAAGAAAATCAGTCATGAAACTTTAATGAACTCGTAAGGCATTAGGTGACAGTGATTTGTATACCTCAAATCAAGCCCACGTTCAGTAGGTGACAAGAAATGATAAAAATCTGAGCAGAAATGAATGAACTAAAAACAAATGAAGATAGGTGTATTGGGGTTTATTTTTTTTCTGAGTGCTAAGAAATAAGGAGTAGTAGAGTCATGGAAATGATGATTAAGGAAGGAGAGAGTATGGGAATTACATGAAGGAAAATCAAGTAGGTGCATATAGGGGATATTGTAATACCTATTAATTTAGAAAAAGAAAGCTCAAAGAATTTAATACGTGGGGGAACTATAAATCAAAATACTAGTGAAGCTACATGTTTCAGACATCCATCTAAATACAATCAGGCTTTTTTGGTGATATGCTCCTCCATTCTTGGGAAGACATAAGAGATAAAAGAACCAGGATATACAGACTTGTTCATTCATAACACTTGGACATAATCATGCATGGTCACCCTACATAGCCTTAATTCAGTTTTACATGTTGCAACTACTTCTCATTTTGTTATACAGGATAGGATACAGAAAAATACACATAGGTCTAATCCACTAAGAGAATAAAAAAGTTGAAACTATTCAAACACTGGCTTAGAGAATGCTTTAACAACAGGTATACAGAGGAACAGAAAAAGAGATAGATTACAACTACATAATTGAGTTAATTATGAAAATAATGAGAGAACTTATTTAAAAAGACTTGAATAGTTTTGCCTATATTATCACTGCTGCATAGATGATCAGTGAGGAGATGGAATGAGATAAATGTTAAAAGCTGTCTACAGCTGTTGTATATCAACTATCAGGGGTATTATAATCTTAAAAATTCATGTGAGATGTATTAGAATTTAAAAGTGAAAATTGTTTTCAAATGATTTCCAAATTATTTCAAAGAAGGCTGTTTGATCATTACAGCTTTATTGATTTTATGATGCACCCTAAATACAGCCTTCAAAACAATGACATTCCCATTTGATACCTTGATCACAAAAATGATAATTGTATTAAGTATTATCAATATTTAAATATAGCTTATGTAATTATTCAATTCTTCTGTGAAAAATAATCCTCGAAATTTTATTTAGACAGTCGTATTTCAATACTGAAAATATTTTTGCACCAGATTGTACTTTAGGTTTACATACCTTTTCAAGCTGTTCACTAAATAATATGACATGAAAACTATAGAAATAGAAGAAACGCAGTCTTTATAATATCACATATCTATAGGAAAGTAAAAACATTTTATGTACTATTCTATAAGTTAATGCACAAGCTGATCTTCTCATAATTCTCTTTGATAAAAATGACTTCTGCGTTTCTCTGGGCACTTTTGTCTGCTATGGGTTTCCCTAATGCACTGGAAATGTGATGAAAATCTTGTACTATTGTGAAATATTCTGATACATTTCTTTAATTATATAAGGTGTTTTATTTGACTTTTGCTTAGATGGTTAATATATCACCTCAGAATTATTTAATTTTAAGATTTGTGACTATCTTTGTCTTCAGCAATTAAAAATGTCATGTATATGCATATTTTTATCTTGAATGTATATATGTATAAAAGTTTGATAGACTATGTAATGCAACATTAATAAATAGTTATGTCTTTTTGTCTTTGTAGACTGTTCTGAAGAATCTTCACAATGTGAGGTAATAGTTGATATTTATTCTGGATTGTTAACTTTATATGCTTTATGAGAGAATTTGTTAAGTTTCTTATTTCAAAACTCATCCAGGCTAACACTGAAAAGAAAGAATCTGATTCTAGTGGAAAATCATCAATGAAGAATGTAAAATATCTTTGTAAAAGTAAGTTCTGTAATTTCTTATTATGATACAATTATTCTAAATATTTGAACATATTTTCTTTTGCTTTTTATCCCCAAATTTTTAGAAATGATACTAATAACAAAAATATCTTTGTTAATTTCTGTGTTCCAATGGGTTCTTTCTTTTCTCCTTATTTTAACTCCACAATGCATTTATTGAACATTTACAGTGACATAAAAGTGGGGAAGGGGAATTATACAATTTTCAAATACCATGATATCCATTTTCTGTCTTACAACTTTAGTCACCATACATAGGAAAAATAGTTTATGTATTGAAAATAGTTTTCATTCAGTCTATTCTGATTATAGTTTCCCCTCCTTCTTCTCCACCTATATATTGACTACTTCCCTACCTATCCAAATTCATTCCCTTTTCTTTCTGTCCCTCATTAAATTAAGAAATAATAAAAAGAGACACACCAGAACAGGATAAAAAAACAAAGAAACAGAAAAAAAATGAGTCAAAGGAAAAGTTCAAGAAACTCCTCCTTCCTCCTGCTCCTTCTCCTCCTCCTTCTTCCTCCTCTTCCCTCTCTCCTTCTCCTTGTATTTTGCTTCTTCTTTTGGATATGCTTTTAGGAATTAGTTTGTTAACTGATACTGTGATCTCACATGTGTTAATCCTAAAACATACCATTGACTAATTAAACCAGGAGATATTGTTTTGATAAACTTGTTCTATGCAAGAAATAAGAAAGTTAAAATGTTTCTGGTGAATTTCTTAATATTGGGGGAAATAAACAAGAAAATGTTACATGTAAGTAGAAGAAACTTAATAATTTTATTCCATTAAGTCTCATCACATTTGACACTATTATTGATAGAAATAGTTCACACTTTGAACTGTTCACTAACTGATTCATGAACATCCTCAAGTATATATTCATTCAAATAAAAAAACTAGAGTAACAGTCTATTAGAGTAACAGACTACATACATTACTGGAAATAAAAGGGTATGGAAATAAGCAGCTGAATCCTGTCACTCAGGTCTCCTTCATTACTCATATTTCAATAAGGTGAGATAACCTTAAATGCCAAAGCAGCACATTTTTATATGGTAAGTAACAGCTTCCTTGTGTGGAAGATTTGAGATTATTCAAATTATGCAACAATCTGTCAAATTCTGGAGAAAAACTAGTCATCTTCCCTAACTATCCAATTTATTTCTTGCATTAAGTATGCCAATTCTTGCAGAGGTAGAATTCTAGTAATCTCTAATTATTATCTGAAGACAATTCACTTTTTACATGATGATCATGCTTCAGTCCTAATTTTTTTAAATTTAGAATCAGTCGAGACAGGGTTTCTCTGTGTAGCTTTGGAACCTATCCTGGCACTCACTCTGTAGACCAGATTAGCCTTGAATTCAAAGACATCTGCCTGCCTCTGCCTCCCAAGTGCTGGGATTGAAGGACTGTACTACCAATGCCTAGCAAATCTATCTTATTTTACATATTAATCCCATTTCCCTCTACCTCCTTTCCTTCCATGCCCCTCACCAACACCCCATCCCACCCTCCCATCTACTCCCAAGGGAGAGTGAGGCCTTCCATGAGGGATCATCATAGTCTGTCACATCATTTGCGAGAGGGTCTAGGCCCTCCTCCATGAAAGAGAACTACAGACCAACCTCCCTCATGAACATTGATGCAAAAATACTCAATAATATATTGGCAAATCAAATCCAAGAATACATTAGAAAAATAATCCACCATGATCAAGTAGGTTTCATCCCAGAGATAGAGGGATGGTTCACATATGAAAATTCACCAATGTAATCTACTATTGAGTGAAGCCTTTTCCTTGCCAGCTACTTTGGTTTTTCCCCACAAGTCACCTGGGCTCTGCCACATTGTAGTCCTCAAATAACACAGAAGACACTGTATTAATTATGAAGCTGTTGGCCCAGCTTGTTTCTTACTTGCTATCTCTGACTCAAGTATTTACTCCATAATTGTTAATCTAAGTATTTCTCTTACCAGAGAAAAAGGTCTGGACTTCTTACCCTTATGGCAGCTGCTCCATGTGTTTCTCCTTCCCAGAAAACTACTTGACTCCTAGTCCCACCTATCTTGCTTCCCTATTGGTCAACAGTGCTTTATTGACATATACACAGGACTTTTCCTCAATCTACCACATAAACAAACTGAAAAAGGAAAACCACATGATCATTTCACTAGATGCCGAAAAAGCCTTTGACAAAATCCAACACCCCTTCATGTTAAAGATCCTGGAGATATCAGGGATAACAGGATCATACCTAAACATAATAAAGGCAATATATAGAAATCCAACAGCCAGCATCAAACTAATGGAGAGAAATTCAGTGTGATTCATCTGAAATCAGGAATAAGACAAAGCTGTCCACTTTCTCCATACCTCTTCAATATTGTACTTGAAGTTGTTGCTAGAGCAATAAGACAGCAAAAGGAGATCAAGGGGATACAAATTGGAAAGGAAGAAGTCAAACTTTCACTATTTGCAGATGATAAGATAGCTTTTATATAAGTGAACTGAAGAATTCTACCAGGGAACTCCTACAACTGATAAATACCTTAAACAAAGTGTCATGATACAAGATTAACTCAGATAAATCAGTACCCCTCTCATATACAGATGATAAATGTGCTGAGAAAATCAGAGACAGATCACCCTTTACAATAGACATAAACAACATAAAATACCTTGGGGTAAATCTAACCAAACATGTGAAAGGTCTGTATGACAATAATGTTGAGTCCTTACAGAAAGAAATCAAAGATGATACCAGAAAATGGAAAGATCTCCCATGCTCTAGGATAGGTAGAATCAACATAGTAAAAATGACAGTATTATCAAAAGCAATCTAAAGATTCAATGTAATCCCCATCAAAATACCAGCATAAATCTTCATAAACCTTGAAAGAACAATACTCAACTTTGTATGGAATAAGAAAAAACAGACAGGTAAACCAGTGTACTTTAATTGAAAACTGTGATTATTAATCCACACACCTATGAACACCTGATTTTTTTATCAAAATGAAAATGCTGTTATATAGAGTTCTATCTTACCGTAAGTTTTTTATCTTTTATTTTTTGAGGTTATACTATGATTACATTATTTTTCTCTTTATTTGCTTCTTCCAAGCCTTCCCTTATATAATTCGTTGTCTTCTTTCAAATTTGTGGCCCCTACTTTTCTTTAAATGGTGAAAACATACATATATACATACATACCTACATGCATACATACACACATACCTACAAGTAACATCGACATGAGCTGCTTTGTTGAGGCATCATCTCAAATCCACTTTTTGAACACCTCATTGGGACATGCACATTTTTTTTGTATTTTACTATACTCATTGGGGTCATAGGCTTTCTTTGAAAATTGCAACTTTTAAATCAATCTGTGAACTTTTTTAAAACCATGGATTTTTTTTCCTAACCAAATAGAGCCAAGCAAAGCTCCACCAAAGTATAAATATAAATTAACTATTACTAAAGCCAAAATTGGGTAATTTATTTCAATACTAGTTCTGGATGAAATCAAGTTGTACTTTGTTATAGTAACATAAAAATTATTATATATGTCCTTAACATTTTAGATTCCCCCAAAAGAACATTCTGAATGGCAGGTAATAGCTTTTACATTTTGCCCAGAATTGTAAACTCACACTGTATGACATATACAAGAATTATTAAACATCCTATTTCAAATCCATATAGCCGTCCATACAAAAATAAGGTCTGCTCATGATCAAGTATCAGTTATGAAGTATGTTCAGTTCAGGGAAATTAAATACTGCGCATTACTTTCAATATAATATTGCCTTAAAATGTGTAAATGGTCTGGTGTTCTCATCTCAGCCTTGTTAAACAAAAACAAGAGGATTTTATATAAATGATGTAAATAAATATTTTGGTATCATTTTTGAATAATGTTATTTACTAGCTTAAGAGAATACTTTTACAGTTGAAAGATAGATCTGAGCTGTTTTGAATGTGTGCCTCATTATAGTCACATTTCAGTGTTCAGTTCCCTATTTTTAATGGAGTGCCTGAGAATAATTTTGGAAGACTATGGTTTTTACCATTTGGAATGGTTCCCTTGAGTGTTTGTTTTGGTGTAAGTAGAGTAGTAGTTCTTCAATATGGGATTTCTATAGATTCTGAGGTGAGCAAAAAAGTCTTGTATACTTAAAATACAAGTGTACTTTTAAGTTCAACTCCTAAAAATTGTTTTATTGGTAGGGCAAATAGCATGCATGAAGCATCGGGATAAATAACCAAACCAAATATAAAGCATGAATTAATAAATAAACAAAAGCAGACGAAATCCAAATGAAAGTGAATAAACTATATATTTGTATTGTTATATGGATTTTGATTTAGTGCATTCCATAACTATTCCAGGATATAAATGGATATTTTCTGTAGAGTAAACTGTTTATTCTACAAATTAAGGAAATACCATAACTGCAGCTAATGACATTTAATATCACACAGCTTCTGTGGCAGACAAGCTCCCATTATTGACTAAAGGCACAAAATTCACTAATGTATAAAACAAAAGTTTTTAGTTGGTGATATTCAATATGATTTTTAAATTTACGTTTAGGTGGTGATATTATTCTTTGACACCATAGGAGGAAAAAAGTACAATCTGAGTCCTTGTTGTTATTCACATTTATTTCTGAACATTTGTTTATATTGGGTTTAAGAATGGGCATGAGTATTAGAAAAATGATAATATTTTGGGCAGAGAATACTTTGATTTAATCCATAAATTAAAACTCAAATATGATTTGCATTTTGTTCATCCA